AAACACTGTGTCGTAATAGGTGATTTTAACTACCCACACATTGATTGGGTCAATATGTGTTCTAGTCGAGAGAAAGAGATTGAGTTTCTAGACACTCTAAATGACTGTGCTATGGAGCAGATGGTCATGGAACCTACCAGGGGAGAGGCGATCCTTGATTTGGTCCTAAGTAACACTCAAGACCTGGTGAGAGATGTAAAAGTGATTGCACCGCTTGGGAACAGTGATCATAATGTTGTTGAGTTCAACATTTGTACAAATAGGGAATTGGCCAAAAAGACTCACACAACCACTTTTAACTTTAAAAGGGGTAATTTTTCTGATATGAGGGGACATGTGGGGAGGAAACTGAAGGGAAAAGTAGAAAGGGTCAAAACCATTGGGGAAGCTTGGAAACTGTTTAAAACTACAATTCTAGAAGCTCAAATAAAATATATTCCGCAGGTTAGGAAAGGCACAAACAGGTATAAGAAAAAGCCTACATGGTTAACAAACAAAGTAATGGAAGCTGTAAAAGGTAAAAAGGATTCCTTTAAGCGGTGGAAAGCTAGTCACAGTGAGGCTGATAAAACAGAACACAGGCTATGGCAAATAAAATGCAAGTCTGTGGTCAGGCAGGCAAAAAGGGAATATGAGGAGCATATAGCAAAAAATGTAAAGACCAACAATAAAACTTTCTTCAAATACATTAGAAGCAGGAAACCAGCCAGGGAGGCAGTGGGGCCCTTGGATGACCAAGGGGTAAAAGGAGTACTGAAGGATGATAGGGAAATGGCTGAGAAGCTAAATGCATTTTTTGCCTCCGTCTTCACTGTGGAAGATGAGAGGTGCTTGCCCACTCCAGAGCCGCTGAGTTCGGGAGGGGTGTTGAAAGACCTGAGTCAGATTGAGGTGACGAGAGAGGAGGTCCTAAAACTGATAGACAACTTAAAAACTGATAAATCACCAGGCCCAGATGGCATACATCCGAGAGTTCTGAAAGAACTCAATTGTGAACTTGTGGATCTCCTGACAAAAATATGTAATCTCTCCTTAAAATCAGCCTCCATTCCTGAGGACTGGAAGGTAGCTAATGTCACTCCCATCTTTAAAAAGGGTTCCAGAGGAGATCCGGGAAATTACAGGCCAGTCAGTCTGACGTCGATACCGGGTAAATTGGTGGAAACCATTATTAAGGAAAGAATTAGTAGGCACATAGATGAACAAAACCTATTGAGGCAGACTCAACATGGGTTCTGTAAGGGAAGATCTTGTCTCACTAACCTGTTAATGTTCTTTGAGGGGGTGAACAAACATGTGGACAAGGGGGATCCAATAGATATTGTTTACCTTGACTTCCAGAAAGCTTTTGATAAAGTTCCTCATCAAAGGCTCCTAAGTAAGCTCAAAAATCATGGGATAAAAGGACAAGTCCTTTTATGGATCAAAAACTGGCTAATTAATAGAAAACAGAGAGTGAGTATAAATGGGCAGTTCTCCCAGTGGAGGGGTGTAAGCAGTGGGGTACCACAGGGATCAGTACTTGGTCCACTGCTTTTTAACTTGTTCATTAATGATTTGGAGTTGGGAGTAAGCAGTGAAGTGGCTAAATTTGCGGATGATACGAAGTTGTTCAGGGTGGTGAAAACCAGTGAGGATTGTGAGGCACTCCAAGGGGATCTGTCAAGGATGGGCGAGTGGGCGTCAACATGGCAAATGGGGTTCAATGTGGCCAAGTGCAAGGTGATGCACATTGGAGCCAAAAATCCTAAATATAAATACACGTTGATGGGGTCTGAACTGGCAGAGACTGATCAAGAGAGAGATCTTGGAGTTGTAGTAGATAACTCACTGAAAATGTCGAGACAGTGTGTGACTGCAATAAAGAAGGCCAATGCTATGCTGGGGATTATTAGGAAGGGTATTGTAAACAGATCAGCCAATATCATAATGCCGCTATATAAATCAATGGTGCGACCTCATCTGGAATACTGTGTGCAATTTTGGTCACCACACCTTAAAAAGGATATTATAGCTTTGGAAAAAGTGCAGAAAAGGGCAACTCGAATGATAAAAGGGTTGGAACACTTTCCCTATGAGGAAAGGTTAAGGCGCTTAGGGCTCTTTAGCTTGGAGAAACGACGACTGAGGGGTGACATGATTGAGGTTTATAAGATTATGCATGGGAAAGAGCAGGTAGAGAAAGAGGTACTTTTCTCCCTTTCTCACAATACAAAAACTCGTGGGCACTCCATGAAATTGCTGAGCGGTCGGGTTCGAACGGATAAAAGGAAGTACTTCTTCACCCAAAGAGTGATGAACACATGGAATTCACTGCCACAGGAAGTGGTGGCGGCTACAAGCATGGACGGCTTCAAAAGGGAATTAGATAAGCATATGGAGCAGAGGTCCATCAGTGGCTATTAGCCACAAGGTATAGATAGGGACTCTGGGGCAAGTGATGCTCTGTCATCTTGGTGCTTGGGGGGGTCAACAGTGGGATGGCTTCTAATGTCCTGGCCCCACTGGTGGACCTCCTGATGGCACTGGTATTTCTGGCCACTGTGTGATACAGAGTGTTGGACTGGATGGGCCTTTGGCCTGATCCAACATTGGCATCTCTTATGTTCTTATGTTCTTATGTTCTAATCTGTGACTGGTCCGAAATCGTGGTATTAGCAGGTATCACAACTGAACTCCAGACAACAGATCTCTCTCTCCCCCTGGAGAAAATGCTTTTGATACACAAATCTGCCTGCGTGCTCCCGTTAGCCAAATTGGAAACACACAGTCGGAGTCCAGCGAGTTAGATGAATACTATTTAATGCATTGAGACAGGGTATACAGGGATGAGCGCCTTAGCAGTTCAGCCATTCCAAAGCTGTATTCTGCCATAACCAGGAAGGGCAGAAGGTCTTATACCCCAAATGACATCACATATAGTTTACACATTAAGGAGTCTCTAATTGGTACCAAGCAGTTAACATCATACAAGCATCATTAGACTCAGTGCATCACTCAGCGGTGCCAGTAATTACACTTGTTTACCTTGTCTTCAGAACATTGGGAACATTAGAGAACACTGGGTCCCTTCCTGGGCTCGCATGTGGAGAGCTAGCTGATAAGGGCTATGAATCACATTAAACTTCACTCCCGGCAGCCTTGCAACTTCTGAATAGCATTCCATTCTTATTGCATCCTAATTCCTTCTACAGAGGCTTCTTATACACAAAAATGCAGATATAAAATATATGTTCTTCTATAAGTTTCTCTAATCGGAAGATTCTCGGTTACATACCAAAATCTGGATCTATTATGATTAAACTTTTGAAGGCAAAGTGACAGCTGTCAATATGCCTCAAGGAGAGAGTGTCAGAAATCACACTCAGAAATCACATACTTTTCCGCTTGTCCTACAATTCCCCCTCTTGGTGAAATGACCACCCTAAGGCTCAATGCCACTATCAAGAGCTGTGTCCACTGGAACTGAGTGCTCAGGATCCTCAGCCACTGGCCCACAGTAGCCAGCCAGCCATGGAGGATCCAAGCAGCAGCAGAAGCATCTTCATCAGGAGAGACAGCCGTTTTGGCAGTTTATTCTGTCAGGGAAGTGGCCAAGCTGGCAGTGGGCAGGGGAGAGGACTGGACCCAGCCCCCAGCCAATGGCACGCAAGTACTCTTGAGTGGTGGTTGACGGGCCACTGGCTGATGGAGTGCACAGCACAGCCAATGGGAGAGCCGGAAAGTGCCAATACTTTGGGCTTTTTAATATATAAAGGTAAAGGTAAAGGTTCCTTTGCTTGAAAGCCAGTCAAATCCGACTCTAGGGTTGCAGTGCTCATCTGAAGGCCAAATCTCAGGTTGTCACCCTTCTAGCCTGAGACATCAGGGGCCCCTGGAGCAGGGACCAGAGTGGTAAGGTCGGCTTGCATGGGTGTAGGTGGTCCCTCAGGGATACTGGCCACAAGTCATTTAGGTCTCCAGTACCATCACCTTGAAACGGGCCTGGAAGTGAACTGGGAGCCAGTGGAGGAAGAAGAAGACTGGAGTGATACAGGCTCAATGACCCAGCATTCTGGCTGCAGCATTCTGTACCCGTTGTCTGTTGGTGGGCATGGAATTTTTTTGGATAACAGTTTTCAGATGTCCATTGTTTAGCTGATGTCCTGCCCAGGGAACTGAAGAGACTCGGAGAGCCAGTGTGGTGTATTAATCAGAGGGTCTGACTAGGAACTGGGAACACGGGGTTTGAACCTCCAGTCTGTTACGAATTCTGCAGGGTGGCCGAGGGCCGGTCTCTCAGCATTATTAACAACTTTTTTGTTTTGTTTCCGGATGCCTCCGGCCAAACATCTAATGGAACAACTTCCGGTAGAACAGGTAAATTAATCCCAGTAAAAGCACAAATGTGTATTATAACTTGCGTCCAAAACTGTTTTATTAAAGGACAGTACCACCAACAATGTATATAATCTGCGACTTGTCTGCAATTTTTCCAACAGAATTTACGAACGGCAGGGTTTATTCTGTGTAGGAGGCATATGCCAACAATTCAAAACTTTAAAAGTATTGAATTTAATAGTAAAAATCTTTGAGGTAGCATTAGGAGAATTCCTAACCTTTTCCCAGTCTTTATCTTGCAGTCGGTCGTGGCAATCCATTTTCCAAACAGACTGAGCTTGTCTGTTATGAATTCGGTAGGGCAGCTGAGGGGGGCCAGTCTCTCAGCCTCACCTCCCTCACAAAGCTGTTGTGCAAAGAAAAAAGGGAGCCAGGAGAATTTTTTTCTGCACCCTGATCGCTTTGGTGGACAGACGGGATAACAGGGCAGCCAGAAGGACCCTGAGAATCAGCGGTTAGCGGTTCAGGCAACAGCTTAATTTAAGGGTCGAGTGTAGGCCAGTGGCTGCGAAGAAGGGGGGGCCTCTTCCTTCGGTCACCGTGTTCCTCTTGGTGAGGTGAGGGGCGAGATGGGGGTTATTGTGATCCCTCTTTCATGAGACAATGTTTTCATTTTACAGGTACAAGTAAAGCCATCGAGCAGTGGAACCTTCTCGTTTGTTTGTTCATCATCGCGATGCCTTTTCTCACCTGAATGTGGTCATCGGGTGCATCATGGGAACCTCCGCTTAATTGCATAACATCACGAGAGGGGGGAATGAGGAGCAGAAGCAAGCATCTCCTGGAAGGTTCCTGAGAAGAAGACCTTTGATTGGATGAGAGAGACCACTTGATTCTAGCGGGAAAAGAGCTATAATTGAGCGCTATAGGTTAGCAAGAGGTGTGCGGTGCTGTGCTCATGCTATGCGAGGCTATGTGCAATGTGGTCATTGGGTGCATCATGGGAACCTTTGCTTAATTGCGTAACATCACGAGGAGGGGGGGGGATGAGGAGCAGAAGTGAGCATCTTCTGGAAGGTTCCTGAGAAGAAGACCTTCAATTGGATGAGAGAGACCACTTGATTCTAGCGGGAAAAGAGCTATAATTGAGCGCTATAGGTTAGCAAGAGGTGTGCGGTGCTGTGCTCATGCTAGTTTGGTGCAGTGGTTAAGTGCGAGGACTCTAATCTGGGAGAACCGGGTTTGATTCCCCACTCGTCCTCCACTTGCACCTGGCTGGATGACCTTGGGCAAGCCGTAGTTCTGATAAGAGCTGTTCTTGAAAAAGAGCAGTTTCTGTCAGAGCTCTCTCAGCCCCGCCTGCCTCCACAGGGTGTCTGTTGTGGGGAGGGGAAGGGAAAGGAGTTTGTGAGCCGCTCTGAGACTCCCTTGGGTAGTGAAGGGCCATGGGGGATAAATCCAATCTCTTCTTCTTCTTCTATATGAGGGCAAATGCTTTCCTGCTATAAGAGAGTTTCTGTCTGCAACCCAGGGATGAGATGTATTAGTTAGGAGAGCTTTCTTATTTTCTTCTTATTAACCAGGTGAGACTATACTGAACAGCAGATATATTTTAGCAACTTAATAAAACTTAATGCATTTTAAAAGGTTGTGTTTATTGTGTGCAAATCCCACCTCAAGAACTCACAGGTAAACTCGGCTGGGAAGTTGTTCGGCGGTTCCAGGGATGGAGCTGGGAACGGCGATTCAGTGGGGGCCAGAGGGAGACCCTGGTGGGGGGGGGGCAACCCCAAGACTAGTTCAACCCCCCCCCTTCCCAACTGAGTCGGTCTGTTGAAAGGATACTCTCCCCCCACGAGCAGCTTCCAATATAAAAAAAGAGGGAATGAAAAGAGGAAACAGAATAAAATCCATAAAACAGCAGTAGAAACAGCCATAAACTCAAAACGGAAGCTGCCATTCAAATCATATAAGTCAATCATAAAATCCAAGGCACCAGCCGCTGTGAACAGCTGAGCATTGAGCAGTCAAAGGCCTGGTCAAAAGGGCAGGATTTTGCCTGGTGCTGAAAATTAGCCAGGCCTGGACGATGGAACGTCACAGCCGACGACTTCTTCTTCTTCTTCTTCTTCTTCTTCTTCTTCTTCTTCTTCTTCTTCTTCTTCTTCT